TCTCATGTCTCACTGCAGATGTCCTCATGTCTCATTACAGATGTCCTCATGTCTCATGTCTCATTACAGATGTCCTCATGTCTCATTGCAGATGTCCTCATGTCTCATTACAGATGTCCTCATGTCTCATGTCTCACTGCAGATGATGGATCACAGCTCCAGAACCAGAATCGGCCCGCTGTCAGGAGGAGTTGACAGGAAGGAGAACCAGAGCAGAGGACAGATGAGCGCCTGCAGCTGAACGGGTTTGGACCAGAACCACATCAGACAGGTGGACACAACACCTGTTGTGACAAACGCAGCTCAGAGACACTTCCTGCATCTTAATGACCGTCTGTAAATATTTGAGCCTGTTGGACAAAACTAATAAATCCAAACATTTAAAAAAACTGTTTAATAATTCAAGCCTGAAGGAAAAGTTCAAACTAATCTAAAAACTAGAGTTAAAGAACAAAAAGAACAAAGTGTCTGCTGCCACCCAGTGGACAGGAGGAGGAGCTGCAACATCTTTACTGAAACCAGAACCACACAATGAGACTTTTAATTATTTTTACAAGATTAAAGTCATAATGTTACAAGAATAAAGTCGAGATATGAAAAAAAGTCAATCTTACATGTGTTTATTTCCTGTTCCTCATTTTCCCCACACTGTGTCCATCCATGTGTCTGTTTATAATCTGTGACCTGGATCACTGTTATTAATGATTTCATCCAAATTAACCACATGACTCAATCTGTCAATCATCCATTAATTACAAAACTTCTTCAGTTTATATTCGTTTGCAATTTCCAAGTTCTGCTCCTGATAATTAGATACTAATGTGCTAAAAGATTAACTATTTGTTTTTAATATTAAAGAACTTGACAACATTCCTCATTTTAATGTTGATAACTGCAGCTTTTTCATGACTTTTCTCCTAATATGACTTTAATCCCATAATGTTACATTATTCTTGTAATATTACGACTTTATTTTTTTACACATTCATTGTTGAAATATGAGTTTCTCATAATTAAAAATCTAATCTTTAATCCTGATACGTCCTCATAGAAAACACAGCAAGAATGTTGCAAATTTTTTAAATAATTTGAAGAGATTTCTTTTAAATTCAACAAGGAGAAACAGTTCAAAAAGTTACAAAATGAGCCGAATGAGCCGAAGACTTTGATTAGTGAATTTAAAATCAGCCGAAGGTGTGAGAGCTGTCAGGTGGAACAGTTTGGATCACTTCAGAGCTGCTGCTGCTTTCTGTAGAATTATACAGCAAAGTTTATCAGCTGGAAAACTAAATGTTGCTTTTCTGTCTGTAAACAGAAGCAGGTCCATCAGAACCGGGTCCATCAGAACCGGGTCCATCAGAACCGGTTGGACTTTAGAATAAATAACCAAAAACATCCTGACGATGTGAAACAAACTGAAGTCAAAAGTTCAGAAATATGAAGAAATAAGAACTTCTGGACCGTCCAGTTTTACAAACGTCTCTGCAGGACCAGAACCAGGACCAGAACCGGTCCGGAACGTTCTGAGTTCTAACGAGTCAGACGCCAGCGCCGCTCTAAAACACGCGGTCGAACTCGGTCTGGTTGGTGGTGGCCGGGTTGCGGTTCTGGTTGGGCTGCGGCTGGGGCATGTGGCTCCTCCTCCTGGGCGGGGCCAGGTACTCGAACATGGACGTGTTGTGGGTGGACAGCATGTTCTTCAGGTCCGACGGCATGGGGTCGGACCAGAAGAAGTCGTGGTTGAGCGCGTCGTCGCTGTCTGTGCGCTGAGCCGGGTCCAGGACCAGGAGCTTGTCGATCAGGTCCAGGGCGTAGGGGTCTTTGACGTAGGCCTTGAGGCGGTCCTTCACCTTCCTCTTCTGGCCTTTGGGCAGCTCCATCTTCTGGTACAGCTCGTACTTCTTGTCCACGCCGGGCCACACCTCGGGGGTGATGGACCCGCACAGCTGGCTGATCAGGGTCAGCTGGTGCTGCTCCGTGTTGCCCTGCATGATGGGACTCCTGGTCCACATCTCCGCCATGATGCAGCCCGCCCCCCACAGGTCYATGGGGGGTCCYTAGTCCCGCTCACCTGTAGACAAGGAAGCGGGTCAGGTTCTGGGTGTCCCTCCAGATCTAACGGGTTTTTAGACTAAGAACTGACCCAGCAGCAGCTCTGGGGGTCTGTACCACAGCGTGACCACCCGGTTCGTGTACCGGTTCCCCTGACTGTTCTTAGCCAGGCTGAAGGCCCGAGCCAGACCGAAGTCCGCCAGCTTCAGGACCCCGTCTCTGGTGATCAGAACGTTGGCCGCCTTCATGTCTCTGTGCAGAATCTGGAACAGAGAGAGGAGCGTCAAGAGACCCGGGTCCTCAGATCCACAACTGGATCCTTCAGAGCCTCAGAGTTCCTGGGCCTGTCTGAGGACAGTTAGCGCTAGGCCTGTCACGATAACAAATTTTGCTGGGCGATTAATTGTCTCAAAATTTATTGTGATAAGCGATAATATTGCCT